CTTTTTTTTAATTCATCATCAATTAGTGTAAGTCGGATCCCTTTTCAATAAGAAACTGATGTATCTAAGCTATTTCTGAATTATTTTACAAAATACGAAAAAAAAAAAGAATTTCATCAATTCATTCAACTAGTGAAATCAAATTCTTACAATACTGAGACCTAATATAGTTCAAAATTTATCTGTTCCGATTTGAATCACTAGAGTACTGTCTACTGGAGAGAACTTTCAAAACCCTAGAACTTTTCAAGTAGGTTATCAAGTATTGATCTTGAAAGAATAGTTGTTTGTCTCCCTCTCAATGTAAAACAAGAAAAGAAAAATTATTTTGACTGACTATCATAGTAATTAATCAAACATAGAAAAAGAACATCCTTTTACAGTTCATCCGTATCTTGTTTTTTGATTTTATTTTATGATACATTCCGCCAAAAAATAAATTTCTCTTTTGTCTGATATAAAAATGTTATCGCACTATAAAATAATATAAAAATAAAAATTCTATGATTCTTCGTCCTGGTGAAACTATAAGGCTGTTAATTGAAGTACAGTTAATGACAACATTGCTAAATTTCATATTTATTCCCTTTTTTTTTAAATCAAGAAAAAAGAAACTATTAAATAATAGAAAAAGCTCTTGAAAAATAAATGAGTATGTCCATTATCGGTTCTTGTAAGATCAAAATGTCCTTATTCTAGATAAGAGAAAAATAGCGTAAAGTAGAAAAAAATAATTAGAAACATACGTAGAAACCTCGATAGTCAAAGAAAAACATACAGCACAATCAAAACATAACCTCGAATGACTTTTTTTCATTCGTAACAATACAAAATAATAGATGGTATGGCAGCAAAAAAAATTGCTAAATTAATTATCAGTTGACAAAATGTGTTTATTGTATGTATAGGATGTTATAGATGCTTTAGAAAGGTTCTTGAATACGTTTTTTGAGAAATTAGTTTAGACAAAGTCACTAGATAAATCAAACCAAATCTAATAGATGTATGTGCCGTCTTGTCTGCCCTATGCACATCCTTATTAAATAATTTACTTTTGTTTTGTTTTAAGAAAATGGAATAAACATGATATTTAGTAATTTTGACATAATGTATACTTTAATTTAATAATTCTATAGTTTTGAAAGAATAGATTGTAGATTCTTTATTTTTATATTATTTTATGGCACGATAACATTTGTATATCAAACAAAAAAAAATTTCTTATAAAATATATATAGTAAAATTCAATACAAATCGAAAGAAGGTAGGAGTGCGTTATAAAAGACTGTTGTTTTTCAATGTTTGATGATAGTTAGTCAGAATAATTTTTTTTCCGATTTTACATTGAGAGATTGGACGATGTGAGACAAACAAATATTCTTTCAAGATCAATACTTAACAACCTACTCAAAAAGTTCTAAGAGTTATCTTCAACGAATATTGCTTGAATGATTCGGTTTACAAAAAAAAAATTATTTTTAGTAGATCTTAGTATTATCAGAACTGATTGATGAAATCATTTAAAATCTCATAGAATATATTTTGAGTTATCTACTAATGAAAAAAATCTTTTTTTACATCATGTAAAATAATTCAGAAATAACTAAGATATACTGTTGTTTTTCTTTTCTTGAAGAGTGATCTGAATGACAGCAATCGACTTTATTATTTTGATTCTACTTAGTCTGACAAGTAACAAAGAAGTCGACGTTATTTTTTTATGCTTTAAAAAATAATGATTTTTGTTTTTTTGTAACTAATGAACTTGAACAAACTAATTTCGATCTCGATCATAAGAAAGAAAAAACTGAAAAGACAAGATAAGTTTCCGTTACAAAGATTGCTATGACCTTTTACACTATACGTATACAAATAATGTAGTTTGTCTATTCTTTTATTCTTATATAAATTCACTTGATGAGATATATTAGTCTTGTAAAATCATGTCGTATAGAAGAATAATAAGAATATCTATTGCGAACTTAGAATATTTTTTTGAAATCGTTTTTTGTTCTCATTAATTCTTTTGCTTTCAATGAATTATTGATGAGCTAAATTAATCTCTAACAAAGCCTTCAAAAGCTTTTCACTATAATAACTATAATATGTATGTAATTAAAATTTGATAACGATATTCTATACTTATTTTGTATTAATCCGATTTACATTTTCCGTATTCCTCAACAGTTTTATCATTGTTCGAGCATAATCGAAAATTTTCAAGAGGATTATGCAAAATAAAATATTTTAGATGTTTTTATATGCATTAAAAATAGTAAACGTATCTTTGAACTTGCTGACATATCTCATTTGAATATTCAAATAATTTTATTCTCTTATTCTTTTTTTTCCCTGTTAGTTTTTTTTTCGATCATATTTTATTCCGTTTGATTAATCAAACAAAAAATCCAACATAAACTTTCTTTTTGAACATGACAAGATCGGATTATTTTAGATGCTATGAGTTATATTTTCATTTTTTTTGTCATATAATTTCTTAGTAATACTATATCGATAGAAACTAATTTCATGTCAACTCGACATTCATGAACAACAATAGAATTGTATTGGTAATTACATTAATCAATTTTTTTTCTCTAATTTTAATTTTGTCATATTTCTGTCTACTTCAAGAATAATATGCATGTTGACATGAGTTTATTATAGGCTAACAATATATTGATATTGATGCTTACAACTTCGTGTAAGATGCGCGAATAAAATTCTTCTTATGCTTACTACATGTTTCTATTAGTTAAAGGTGTATTATCTTGGTTTCTTAGCTATGATTATAAATATATTAATGAAATAAAAATAGACATATATAAAGAATAATTAGAGGTGTTCTATTTGTTAGGTTTTTATTTATGTGTCTCGTTGAATTATATTATTTATATGAGTATGTTCGACGATTACATTGATTCATAAATCACCCTTTATTTCTTGTTTCTATAGGGGAAAAGATCGGTAACATAAGACATCACACGATTGCGTGCCAATGAGCCATATCTATAAAAACATTTCTAAGCATGATTTTTTTATGGCAATATTACAGTAAAAAAAAAAGAATGGTATAATTATGAGATGTTTAGCGTTATTATCATAAAACAGCATTGAGAATGACATGCACAAAGTCATACTGGAAATATCAGAATTTTTTTAAATAAATTTGTAATGCAACAATGATTCTAGCTTGGTTGCTTTCCATAGAAAAACAAAGTCACTAAAAATATATCACATTAATCATTAATTAATCCTTCGTTGCCGTCTTATAATTGAAAATTTGTGAGAAGAGAAAAAAAACGGATGTTGTTTATTTCAGTAGGAGACTCACACGTTACAAGGAAGAAAGAATTATTAGGTGAATACAACAACACAAAAAAAAAGAAAAAGGAAGAAAATTTAGTTAGACAAGAAATAAGTCTGTCCTTCTCTCTACTTATTTCTTTGACATCGTATTTTAGATCCACTTTATCATTTTCTCTATCCTTGATGACGTCGTAGACATAGCAAACAGAAGAATAAGAGCTAGAAGAAAAAGATGAGCTCCAATGGAAAAAAAATATTCCGATTATTAATATGTGAACGAGTGAATGAATGAATGAACGAATGAATGAATGAATAAATGAATGAATGGATCTTAATGGCAGAAACTATGACCTTCTTTAGATTTGTTTTTTTTCTCTTTTTTATAAAATACTTTTATTATCGATCAATACGATTTTCTATTCTTATTGGTCGTCTTTAATGATTAATCACTCAACATATAATGTATACGAAAGTTCATATAGACGTGCGTTATATGGAAATGGTTCTGTCAAGTAGGTTTTTAATGTCATTTATTCGATCTGAACAGAATATCTTATTCTTGTCATAGACGTCGATCTATTTAGATAGAAAATAAGCATATGTTCGACAATATGAATACGATTCAGGTTCATTGTGTCTGTAAAAAGCAATTAACATCATTAGTACATATTTTTTTTCTACCCTTATCACTGATCTATTTGCTCGAAAGTTTCGTTAGTACACGCATTTCTTTTCCGTCCTGACTCTTTCATATTGATCTAATAATAGAAACTTAGACAAATACAGAGTAGACCTTATTACATCAAAAATCGTCATTATTTTTCTCTTCTTTTTTTTTAAAACGATAGCTACAACACTTGAGTAGGAGAATACAAAAGATGATCGATGTATAGATTGGCCCATCGGAAATACGGCTATCATATAGAGTCAAACAAACAGATAGCCGACGGCATTACGTGATATAGAAGCAAGTTTTTCCTCCCTAATCAATCTTTCTACGATCATACTCTGTCTTATTCTTGTACTCTATCTTAGTGCAGTCAACACTTCGAACTTTATGTCAAATTAACACATTTGAGTATATATTTCGACTTTACTAATTGACATTTCGCCAAATCTCTATGACAGACATCAATATATTATCAATCATTTTATTAAGTAGGAAAAAGTCTTTTTTATCAATGTACTCCGGAAGTTTATGTATTTCTTTCAGTTTTACTTATTATCGCATATTTCATCTAGACAACAAAAAAAAAAATTGTCGAGCATAATGTGCACGGTAACTTTCGAATTAATTTGTATAATTTATCCTATTGATGATAGTTTTGAATATAAACTGTGGCGACAGATTTACTCGTAAACAATCTATGCAAACTGTTTATAGTAGACAGAAAAAGTTCTTTGTTTTGCTCTTCATCGCTCATGCTATGAGGATCAAATATGTCAATCGATTACAGTTTCCCATGGATACTTTTCTTCTTCAAAAGACGGATATTACACATCCGTTATTCTCCTAGGACCGATTGAGTCTCATCTCAATAAATATGTTTGTCTTATCCGTTTATTTTTTGTTTTGAAAGAAAGCATATGTTAATTCTTGGTAGTATTGGTTATAAAATATAAAAAGTCTGTTTATTATTTTCTTCTATTATAGATTTTAATAGAAAAAATAAAGTACTAAAACTTTATAAATGATGTCAAGTAATACATCTGATCATAATATTGATTATGGTCTTGATTATATTCTTCTTTTTCGTTTAATTGTTTGGGGATATGCTGGCATGGCATTAAGTTTATTTGGTATTGTGGGAAATATTATTACCATACTTGTACTTATATCACCATCATTACGTACAACATCAACAAATATATATTTAATTGCTTTATCATGTTCAAATATTCTTTTTCTTCTTATATTTATCCCATCATATTCAATAAGATATTTATTAGGTTATAAGCTTTATATGTCAAATGAACCTCCATTTGCCTTTGAAATTCTTCTATCACGTTTACCAACAACGCCTATTTATAATACAATACTCTTATCAATTATATATTTAACAATAGCAGTATCAACTGATCGCCTTATATTAATCAAATTTCCATTAAATGCAAAACGTATATTAACGAAACGTGTAACATTAACGACCATTTTATTGATTTATATTTTTTCTATTGTTTATTGTATTCCATATTGGCTAGAACAACGTTATGTGCCGGAATTACAACAATGTCGTCTTACAACTATAGGTAAAAAGATTCATAAATATACAAGAATATATATTTATATACCTGTTGTTTATGTTATACCATTTGTGACATTAACATGTATTAATATAACAATAATACAAAATTTAATTGCAAAGAAACGTCAAAAACAAAATTTATGTGGAAAATCATTTAAAAAAGTATCGGCTGATTATCATATAACATTAATGCTTGTTGCAATAATTATTGTTTTTGTATTATGTCAATTACCTTTACTTGTATTAAATGCTTGGTATGCTATTGATCCTCATGGTTCATATGAAAGTTTAAAATTTCAAACATTAAATATAATTGGAATTTTATTAATTGTATTTAATACATCAACAAATTTTTTATTATATTGCTTTTTTGGTCAAAAATTTCGATTAACATTATTGGAATTTATTTTAAAGATGTTTTCAAAACATTCAAAAAATTTCAATATTCATACACGAACCTTAAAACAAAATAAATTACCATTAAAAATAATACAACGAGGAATATCAAGAAATCATTCTTCAACAATGACAACAACAGTAACAACAAATGGTTCAAAACGTTTTAAAATAAAATCAAACACTCAAGATGAACAAACATTATCTGACTTATCTACAGTATTAGATCACAATCTAATGATAACAGATAAAGACGAATCACGTCCATTATTAAAAGCTACTACAGTTCATCTTAAAGATTCAACTGAACATATAACTACAACTGAAGAAAAATCTCCATCGGAGTCCAATGAAAATCAAATAGTGGTATTAATGGTATAATAGACAAAGAAACAGACTCTTTCGGTGCTATGTTATTAAAAAGAATAAAAAGGCAATTCCATTTTCCCTATAGATCATCTTAGAGATCTATACTATCTATATTAAAGTATGATATTGAAATAGACATATGCCGAATGAGGCAAAATGATTGCAACATCAGATATTATGCAAATATCTCAACAAAAACTAAATATATTACAAGATTCTTCTTATTTGTTTTGGTGGATTTTTAGAAAATTAAAAAATAGACATGTATGAAACGTTGTTATGTTTCATTAAATCAGAAATAAAGAAAAAAAATGTTTGGATTGTTATATATTTAGCATATATCTCTATACAAACAAATCATAAAAACTTGAATTTTTTTGTAAAAAGATACATCATGAAATACTCTACACTTGTTAAAGTAAAAGATTCTCTCAACTTGTAATAGTAAGGGGCATAGAAACTGTTGTAATTTCTCATGGTAACAATGATTTAGATGCTTTAGAAAATAGAAATTTCCGCTCTAAACCAAGTCCATTGTGCAAAACCTCATTGCTCAATAGTGTAATGCCGGTAATGCCGTCTTCTTGATATTTGAAATGTACCAGACAGAATTGAAAGTATGCAAAGTGCGATTATTGTTTAAATACAAAAAGGAAATGAATTCCGCTAAGTGAGCAATTATTGTACCTTATACGATGTAGGAAATAATATTTTTCCAATTGAGGGTACCATTATGATTTTGAATACAGTAGACCATATATATATTTTATATCAAATGAAAGCTTATTGACAACGGAATTGATAAGTACAACCGAGGTTATGAAGACATCTTTATGTCGAGTTCTCGTAATTTGTAATTTTTTACCGACTATGGATATGAGAAAAATTATTCATTGGTCCTAGAAGAGAGGTCAAAGTTGTTTCATGTACCCCAAAACTGTCACAATCGGAAACTCATACTTCAGAACAACTATAGTCAAGATTGGACTTAAGAGGATTTTCTTCATCTCGTTCCGTCTGATAAATTTTATATATGGATTATTCACAGATTGAATTAATAGAATGGCTGAGTTTGGGCAAAAGTGTCGAAGAAGATGAAAGATATCGTGACATGGTTAAAAACCAAGCACACATTGTGAGTTTTTGCTATTTTTACTGCCAAGAAATTATATTCGATTATCAAAGAGGAAGGTAAATCTTGAACTATTCGATACTTTCGCGACATTATGTTGAGTCAAAACATATTTTCTGTCTTAAAAAATGACAGTAATCGTACAGACATCGATGAAATTACATTTGTTTCTGATAAAACATTGTATATGCGGATTAATATGATTCGGTTTTACAATCTAGACATAATCACTATCTTGAACAAACACTCAAAATGCAAATGTCAAATATTTTGACACATCGAAACACATATTTAATTCGAACTTTATCAGATGAATAATTTTTCTCATATCTATAGTTGGTAAAATAGTACAAAGTGCGAGTTCGACATACGAAAGTCTTCATAAACTTAATTTTTTAATACTAATACATTCCGTATTCTATGAACTTTCATTTAATATAAAATATATTGTTGACTCTATTTAAAATCATAGTAATATCCCACTCAGAAAAATAATATTTCCTATCTATAACATCTTTCATTTTTGTTCTTTTGAAATTTATTATTACAAATTGAAGACATTTTTTACTTTAATTATTGAGACAAATTTCATAATGTACTTTTCTAAGAAAAAAACTTCAAGCTTTTATGATTTGTCTTTGTTGAGATGTTTACAAAATATCGGATGTTGCAGTCATTTAAGTTCATCTAGTATATATATTAAGATATACCAAAGTAAAAATATATTAAAATGAGAAATCTATTTTCTTACATATTACTTTGTTTATTGATTTGGAAAAGTGTGTGGTTGAATGTTCTGTCAATTATAAGGCAAAAAACCGTTTTTTGATTACAGTTTATTTAAGAAAATTTTTACAGACACACACACATCTATTACTTGTATCACTAATTAAATTGGAAAGGAAGCCATGTCTGGCTTAGGCAAATGTTTCCAGTAATAATAGAACTAAAACGGAAGCAATAACATCAGAATGTCATTAGATGATTATTATTTATTTCTCTATTTCATGTCACCAATTTTCTACAGTATCAAAATATGGCTTGACTGTCCTAATAATTTTATTAATAACATGTATATGGCGCATGACATATCTTGAAATAGCTTCTCAACTAGTACGTTTATTTTATTTAAATTAAATGATAATTGATTATGTTAAGAGAATATAACAAACATATTACTTAGAATTCATCTGTGATAATTTCTGCTTTGTATTCTTATTTAAAATATAAAATAAAATATCAACAAGATAACATTTAGTTAAAATATTATTATCTGATTATATTAATTGCTAACATGTGTCGTTAGAGACTCCTCGCGATAGATTTACTACTTAGCATGGTTTATTTGGTCTGAGACTTTGCAGAATGGATAGCAGTTATGAAAAACACTTCTGGTAATAATTTTCAGCTCGATATGTAAAACTAGAGCGAGTTGCTAACTTATTTATAGTGCATTTGTTGCCTTCAGGAGAATCCTGATAGCTTTGTTAATGGAAAAAGCACAGAGGTCGAGGTTTTTTTAATTATAGTCAGTATTGGATCGGAGTTTTCATCCGAACAGAATTTTGAAATTTACTTTCATTCATTTTCTATGATCATTTAAATACATATTATGTTAAAATAAGCAAAAAAAACTGACTTAACAATAGTAAATCTTATTTTTTTCAACATAGAAATTAACTATAAAACTCTGGTTGGACGAAGGTTTACTATGAAATAGACTTTTGAAAGAAAAAAAAAATATTAGTTATATTTTGAACAAGATGACAGCAGTTTCAATGTCTCTGATTGAAAACTATGTTGTGAGAAGAATGTTAAATATGTTTAGATATAGATTTTTCTCATTCAAATGCAGAAAAAAAACAAAATATAAAAACAACATATTCATAATTATTTTAAGTAGAGCTATTGAAACCATAAGAATGTTTATTCAATGCTGATGCGAATAAATCTTCCTGAAACTAAAATACTGCAAAAATTTTTCACAAGATATGGTACTAGGATCGAAATTTCTTCCGCAAGTCTGTTAAGATTTTATTTGTTTTCGAGAAAAAAATAGATTTTCTGAGGATAGAAAATTTTCTTAAATTGATTAACATAACGATTAATAGATTTATTAATAGCCCGTCCCTCAGACAAAGTCAACTTTTGTCAAATTCATCAATTTTGTGATTTATAGCTCGTTAAATAGAGCAAAATGTCTATTCTCGATTGCGCTATAGTTGATTGATTCTATGATGAGCTTTAAGGATATTGCATAAGTTTTTCTGAACCTCCATATGGAAGGAATAGGATTTTTAAAAATTTATTTTGCGTTTTTCTTAAACTCCCTTTTTTCGAGTATACTTTTTGCGCGGGCAAATCTAACTGAATAACGGCTCAATATAGAAGTGATAACTATTTTATTGCATAGAGGACAATTAGGACTAGGTCGTAACAGAACCCGATTTTTTGAATTTCTGTATTGGCGAAATAGAAAACCTACATATGTCATTTTTATCTGCGGTTTTTGACCATGAATTCGAGAATTTTTCGAAAAAGATTTTTTATAAAACAAACAAAGGAAATTTCAAAAATCAGGCTCTGTTACGACCTAACGCTAAGGATACTCTACAACTTAAATATCGCCCCGGCATGTTAGCTCGTATCCGGATTATGAAAATCTTACCTGTGTACCAGGTATTTTTGACCAATAAAATTGATTATAACTCGTGAATAACTCGTAGATTTGAGGAGATATTTTTACCATAATCTACTCTAGCCAAGACTAATATTCTCTGAAATTTTGGTTGAATTCCATGGAAAAATATAAAAAAAAGTTTGTTTGTGAGAGAGGTCTTAAATTTTTGATTTGAACTATCCTCAGATAAATTAATTGTTAATTTATTTAATATAAAAAATAAATTTTGTTTTTCAACACATTTAACAGTAGTTTCTTAGAAGTACTAAGCTCATAGAATCCAATTATGTTTTGTCTAATCGATTGAATATTTCAGAATAGATTAAAATAATTCAACTCACGAAAGATATGAGAGATTAGCAAATGAAGTTGTTTTTTTGTCATTTTTTGTTTACTTTTCATAATGGCTGTTAACAACATATTTTTTATGTCATGATATTCTATTCCTAGTTTTTATATACAAAAAACAAAATGACATAACACAACGAGGGAAATACTATCAACTCTTATAAACAACAGTCTAAATTGGACGCTATTTATATTAACATTTAAATAAGTATCTTATTGCATTTCAAGCATATTAAAATACGAATTTTAACTTGCGAAAAATTTGAACGATACAGTTTCAGTAAAAGATCATTTTGAGAAAACACACGTTCAACAGGTGCTGATGTAATTAGAATAAGCATGACTTTTTTAGCAAATTTATTAAGAGATTCATATGACTTAAGATCATTGATTGAAAAGTCTTCCTGAAAAAAAAAACAGATCAATTAGTTCTGTACCTCATTTTCGTGTTAAATTATCGAATTTTGTTTTTTCAAATGAAGGACTCGAGTCAACCGCATCTAACTTTCCAGTACATCTCTCACCATATCCCAAAAAATAATAGTTTGATTATTGATCAGAAAGATTTTTTTAAAGATGTTTCACTTCTCGTTTTATTAATAATTTTTCAGCGTAAATCAAATTTACAACGTTAAACAATGATTTAATAATTGGAAATTCTTATTTTTAATAGAAATACTATTTAATCATAATGTACCCATTGTTTAACTCTCTATAAGTTATTCACCTCGAAAAAAAAAACAATTGCTTGTAATTTTCAAACACATTTTACCTTATTTTAATATGTTAAGGTTTATATATTTATTTATTTATATCTGAATAACTAACATACAAAAATAAACACAGAATTCA